GCCCTCATGTGGGAATGATCAGAACTGCTGTTAGCTGAAACCTTGCAGGGCTTGGATTCACTGCAAGGAGGTGGAAATGTTCACTTGCCGTGCTTGGAGACTGGCTGTTGATCCTCCAAACTGGATTTACACACTTTATGAAGAACGGAGATTCTGAGTCATACGACTACACAAGATTTAGTGACAAACTTTATGACTTTACTCGCAGAACTTCAGGAAAATACTTTTTTTGTGTATGTTTGTATAAAATGTGCTGAAAGAAACTTCATAATTGTGTAACCGATGCCTTTCTTTGCACCCTTTGTCTTTCCACAAGCCGTTTAGAGTCCATACATCTGTTACTAAGTGTTTCGTGAGAAAGTCAAGGTTAGGAATGCAGTTTGACTGCAAATGTTTATGACAAATTTCTACATTTATTGATTGTGAGAAAGTTGGGAATTTCTCCCCTCTTGATGAAAAAGTTATTATTATTTTTAAATCTCAAGCCGCTTGTTGCTTTTTAGATTATTTTTCATTTATTTTTTCAGTTTTTTTTTGTGATGTTAGTTACAAAACTGTGCTGATAAACATGCTAAATGTTGCTGTAGGTACTAACCCATAATGGGAGACTGTGACGAATTAAGGATTCAACGCAATCTGCTGGCTTCCTTAGATAAATAACTTTTACTAATGGTCTTTTTTAATGTATATGAAAGTTTCTGTTCAGTGCCCTGAGAGAACTTGTGTTTTGACTTGGTACTAACTAAAATAAACTGAACTGAATTGAACGGATAGCTCCATCACTAAAAGATTCAAACTATTCATTTTAAAGCAACAGACACTTAAAGGGAAACTTTTAAACAGATTGTGACAAGTAATGCTGCATAACATTATGAAAATAATTGTTTTGAACATTAAAAAATGTAAAACTAATCAAACAGACCCCCAAAAGGAAACTAAATCATTCAGAACTAAAATATCTTGGGACACTTGGATCACTGTAACATTTTGTGCTTTCTGCTGTAACACGATGTTTCTTATTAGCATCCAGGGATGAAAACAGCCCAATGAACGTGTGTGCTTTGGTTTGTGATTGTGTTAATGCTGAGCTCTTTGGGGCAGAATTCCCTGCAGGTTCAGGTCTTTAATCTCGAGAGCAAACATTGCACATCACTTCCTCTTGGGCTCGTCTCTGGTCTGTTTGTGTCCCATGATGTCAGACGTATAAAAAAGTGTTGATCAAAATAAAGTTTTTTGGGGAAAACGCCTCATCAGATGGGATCCCTGGCACGTCTGACATAATAATAATCTAAATCATCGCACACTGACAGATGATGGCTGAACATGCGTCAGATTTTATGAGCTCCATGCATTTCACAATCCTCTGCTGGCATTTAAAAAAAATTTTTTTTACATCTATCTTATATTCTGTCAAAACAAACTGTTTGGTTTGTGTTTCCTTGGCAGCCCAAGTCTCAGTAAACAAGCACAAACACTCTGTCATAAACACACAATTATGATAAGGCACTGTTTGTGCAGTGCCCAGTAAAAGTAAGCAGTCTGCCAGCACATGCCATGGTGATTTTCACAGTTTGGAGACACCTAGACCTGCAATTCATCCAGAGTTGGGAATAAAGTAAACTTGTGTCTGGGAGCACGTGAGTCTGTTTGCGGACCTGTTCAAGTCCCTCCAGATCTCACTGACTCACTGACCATGGACATTAATACTCATCACTACCCAGCCTCAACCCCGAGCCTGTTTGCTCTGAGGAAGATCGCACAGATTTTGGGCTGAGTCACAGAATCATCACCTCATTACATTCTCACAGTTTCCACTTTCCTTCACATCACACATGGAGATTAATGTCTTTTTTTAAACACTGATGTATTTTTGGCATCATAGTTTATCAACTACAAGTGTTTATTGTACCCAACAGCAGAGTTACTGAGATGCAAGTTCAATTATTTTAGTTCATTAAAATATCTGAATAATAATACACTCCATCCATCCATTATCTTTACAGGTGTCTCTTGTAAATAAGTCCCCGTGGCTCAATGGGACTAACCTGTTTAAATAAAGATTGAATGAATTAATGAAATCTTCCGCTTGTTCCGAAGTCGGGTCAAGCCTGTATTCGCAATCTCATTATTTCGGTCACTACAATCGTGACCATAGATGAGAGTAGGAACGTAGACCGACTGGTAAACAGAGAGCTTTGTCTTACAGCTCAGCTCCCTCTTCACCACAACGGACCGGCACAGAGTTTGCAATACTGTAGACGCTGCACCAATTAATCTGTTAATCTCACGCTCCATTCTTCCCTCACTCATGAACAAAACCCAGAGATACTTGAACTCCTCCACTTGAGGCAGAACCTCACCCTTGACCTGAAAAGAACAATCCACAAGTCAGTGCTAAGACAGTGTTGACAATGACACTTGAACAAAATTACTTTATGTGCAGAGTTGAGTCAAATCTTTTACTGTCCTGTGCAAAGGTCTTGAGTCATTCCTCATTTCTTTATATTTTGTTTCCAAGCAGCCAGATA